GTTCTTCTTAGCAAAGTATCTCAAAAATGGAAGAAAAAGTATCCAATGTACACAACCCTACTTTGAAACTAATTCATAGCTTTTATAGGAATGTCATAACCTAATTATAGCCTTAGAATATGGGAAGGGGGTGGGAGAGGGGAGGTGAGGGGGATGGATGGGGGAGGGAGGATGATTGGTGGGGTCACCTCTATGGTTTATCTTACAAGGGTACAGGTGAATCTTTCTAAAAGCAGAGTATGAACGTTTTAACTCAATATCTAAGAAAATGACATGAAGGTAATGTTAACCAGTTTGATGAGACTATTTCAAAATGTATATGAAAACAGCACACTGTTCCCCATGGTTGCATTAATATACACAGTTATGCTATAAGAAATAAAAAAAACCAATTGAATATTTCAACACATTCCTCTCAAACTGACAGATTAAGCTGAAAACAAAATAAATATTATTCTGAATATTTAAAAAATCTAAGCATAAACTCAATACCTTATACGTTTGTAGAGCATTTTACCTAATAAAAAATATAATTTTTCTTAACACATAAAAAACTTTTTAAAAAGTATTTTAATAGGTGATAAATAGAAGAAGTGTCAATAAAATCTATACTATCTATAGTATATTGATATATTTTGATGTAATGCAATGAACTAGAATTGAATAATTATAGTTTCAAATACCATAAAGATGAAAACTTAAGTATACTAAGCAATCCTTTAGTTAAAAAAAATCAAAAAGAAATTGTGAAATACATAAGATTCAATAAAGGTCAACAACCACAAATCAAAATTTGTAAGCAGCATCTAAAATAACATTTAGTGGAATGCTACTTTTAGATTAATTCATTAGGAAGAGTGAATTATCAAAACCAATTTGGTAAGCTATTGTTAGTAAAAAAAGAAAAGAGTAACACAAAGAAAAAAGAAGAAAGGATTTTAATAGAGAAGAGACATCAATGAAAAGGGGGAGAAAAAGTAAATTAGATTAATAAATTCTAGGCTATTTGTTTTAGAGATTACTAAAGTAGACATAACTACAGTAAGACCTATCAAGAAAAAGAGTGAGTAAAATATATAAGTTAAACAATAATAGAATTAAAAAATAGAGTGGAGGAGAAACTACAGACAACAGATTTTTTAAAAATTGAGAGTATCATAAATGAAGCTGTACCCACAAATTCAAAATCTATTGGGATGGAGAAAAAAAATCACATAAGATCCTAGGAGGAAAAGGAGAAGAGGAATCGCAAAGATGATTCATATGAAAATAGAAAATCTGACTGAAACAATAAATAATAATAAAATTGAAGTGATAATCCAGTCTTCTAAGTCTTCATTTTCCCAAAATCTATCTGCCCAGCTCTAATATATTTTCAAAGAGCAAACTGTTTTAGAAAATAGTAGCAACAACAGCAAAAATACTAATTTTCCAAGTCTTTTTAAGAGATTAATATAATCCTGATTTCAAAACAAGATAAAAGTAACACAAAACATGGATAAAATTCATGTATAAACATGAATGAATAATTATAAAGAACATGATGGATAACAGTTCTACCAGTGTGCAAAGTGATCAGACAGCATTCACTTCAGGAATTCAGAAGTGTTTTGCCATTAAAAAAAAAAAAAAAAAATCTATCACTATTAGCCACCAGAGTAGTGGAGTTGATGAGAATAATTGTAGAGTGCTGATGCATTTCATGAAGTTCAATACCTATGTACGGATTTCTAAAAAGTGCTCTTAGCAAACTAGCATAGGAGAGAGACTTCTAACTGTAAATGTTACATACCAAAAATCTTTAACTTAATGGAGATAGCCATATACAAAACATTACGTTAATGTAGAAAATTTACAGGTATTCCTACTAAAATTGGAATACGAAAGAATGTGCACTATCATTGCTAGTAGTTAATAACATTGGAAAATTGTGATAATGGAGAGTCAGACCAACAAGACCAGAAACAAACCAAGAGTATTCTCAATAATCAGAGTTATTTATAGATGATGAAAATTACCTCTCCTTCAAGAGCAGTAAAACTAGATGCCTCGCTGACAAATAAAGGCAAATTCCAGATGCATTCAAGATGTAATTGTAAAATTTTAATCCACAAAAGTAATAATAGATGATATGGGAGTCCGTTTTTTGTGCCTGAACACAAAAAAAGTGACGACCCTAAAGGGCCCACTGTTTGAAAAAATACTCGAACTCTTTGGTTATCTTGAAAACGCAAAATACAACAGCAGTGAGATTTCACTTTATACCCATTGCAACCAGCCATAATTAGGAAATGAGGTGGTAGCAAGCACTGGTGGGCATGGATATTAAACTTTAATAAATTGTAGTGTTATAAAATTTTGGAGAGCAACTGGGATTACTTAAATTATGATCATACAATACAGAAAATTATGCATTTCTTATGTGGCTAGAATAATAAATTATACAGGGTGTCCATAAAGTTCTTGTGCAAACTATTTTAAATTGCACACATACTTTATGGACACTATGTTTAGGCACATACCGTGTATATTTTCTTGTTTGTTCTTTTTTTAAAATTATTTTTTATTATTGTTTGTTATATTTCACAGATGTGCAAGTATATTATACAGTGTTTCGTGTTGTATAACAGTTGGCCTCTCACTGAAAGTCAGCTAACATTTGTACAAGCACTCAAAGAATTAGAGAAAAATGATGCTAAAGGTATGTCACTCTAAATGTTTATGCATTTGCTTTACATTTTATGTAACCATATAAAAGTAAATTGATCGGCGCAGCACCTGTGGCTTAAGTGGCGAAGGCACCAGCCACATACACCAAAGGTGGTGGGTTCGAATCCAGCCTGGGACACCGAACAACAATGACGGCTGCAACCAAAAAAACTGCTGGGTGTTGTGGCGGGCTCTTGTAGTCCCAGCTACTTGGGAGGCATAAGCATAGCCCAGGAGTTGGAGGTTGCTGTGAGCTGTGATGTACGGCACTCTACTCAGGGCGACAGCTTGAAGCTCTGTCTCAAAAGAAAAAAAAGTAAATTGATCATGTAATTATTAAAACATATTGCTTATAATTTGTATTATTTATCTTGTGACATTTTCTGTTGCTAATTGGTTCTGTATTTCAACTGTTTTTACTGCCTGGTTTATGAGAAACAAAAAATACAGGTTTCATTAAGTTTCATTTGAATAGATTTTATCCAGCAGGTAAAAATTACTCATGGAGTATACTATTTCAAGAAATACATAAGAAATCTCTCTATTTGCAAAATTATATTTGCCAACAACTGTTGAGAAAGTAGAGCAATAAAGATTTTAAACTATTTTACCAATTCTTCAATTCCAGAAAGGGAATTTCTTAGTGAAAAGGGACTCTGGCTTCTTCTTCTGTTTTTTTTTTTTTTTTTTTTAAATATAAGCTAATCTCATGATTCTTGAGCAGAAAATGACAGTGACAGCAATGTTTTCACAAAAAAAAGAAAATCAAAAGGAAATCTCAAATGGTCTATGCCCCTAAGCTTCATATCCCCTTGTGCAATATTACAATCAAACCTGCAGCAATATGTATTTTCTATTTATGTTCTTTTTAAAAATTAAACTGGATTTCCTAGTCATAAAAATAATATATCTAAAAATAAAACCACACAATACAAAAGTGCATAATGTCACAAGTAAGCCTTCATTTCTTCCCGGGCCCATATGTCTTAGTCCAATCACCCGATGATATCCACAATCAAAGTCTGCTTTGGTGTCTTTCCAAATCTTTAACGCTTATGTATAGAGTACTCTGAGTTCCTATCCCCCGACAAACAGTAGATTTTACTTCTTTAGGGTCTATATTCCTTTATTTTATGCAAGTCCCTGAAGAACAGCCCATTTTTGCTTGATTCTTTCGTTCGATCTAGTTAGGTATGATACATGCAGCGAGCCCTCTGTAGTATTTGTTGAATGAAAAGGAAAATGAAAGGACACATGTAAACTAGTCTCATCATTATTGTCCTTATTTGCTGATTGTCAACAGCTCTGTTGACGTGTTTTACTTGCTTGTATCAGCTGCATGGACCCCATCAGGAAAGAGACATTTGCCTAGTAGAGATTCGTTTATACAGAAGGTAAGAGAAAACTATTATTGCTAGACATGTCATGTTCATTAGAATGGGTCATAAAATCCAAAGATAAATTGTGACAGTGCATGATACCAGGCGTTCCCATTTAGAATGTGTTGAATGTGCTTCCACGGCAACACAAGACACTGCAGAAATCCCTGGGCTGCTGCTGCCCTCACGATGGGCCAGGAACTGCGTCTTTTGCATCTCCACACCAAATAGAAGACGTTAGTATAGGTTTGTTGAGTGAATGTGTGACCATGCTATGCCAGTGACAGCAGGTAGGTTTAAATCTCAATGGCTTTCTGGCCTGCTGTGTTGACAAGATTCCAAATCTGTGATGAGGCTCAACAAGAAAGACACGTTGTCAATGTCTAACGTGGACACTGGAGGAGAAATTGGTAGCCTCAAGTCACAGTCAACATCTTGTTGCTCTTCACATGGGTCTTGTGTATAACCTCTCAGTAAAGTCATGGAATATAAAGTTTTGGAAATATCTCTTCATTCTGCTGCAACCTCCCTTCCCACAACCAATGCCCCCATGGCCCGGCACCACTGAAATGTCAAGTGAGGTGTTGATTTCGTATTCTCGCCTACTACAAGAGGTCACAATTCCTCTGTGCATGAAGGTCAGACGGAAGCTGAAGACTCCCTGCAGGCTTAGTCTCAGGCTGGATAGTCTCACTGACGCCTTCGTTGTGGCTGCACAGGGAGGTGGCTTTGGCCATTGCTGCTCTCATAGACTCCTCCCTGAGCCAGTGCTTCAGGCTCTACCCCCTTTTGTCCTGGGCCTCCTCACTCTGCCCAACTCTGCCTTTTGGAGTATCCATCACTGTGAATTTGAGTCCTTTGATTATGTTGCAATTGACCACCCATTCTCATAAATGTCTGATGGAAAATAGATGAGCAAAATCTGTTAATCGTACTTGTTTATTCCTCTTTGCATGTTACCAGGTTCTCTCTCTCTTTCTTTGCTTGTCAGGCCGTCACTTTTGTTCTCTCTTAAATTAATCAACCTTATCTCCACCCCCTCTGGGATCCAAATCACAATCTCTTAGCTCACACTGTGTCAAAAATTTTTGTATCTATAATTCCTATGTCAATCAGTGGAAACCTGGGTGAAATAATGGATGGTACAAATTATGTGGCAGTTTTGTGCCCTCTACTGCACAGAAGTAGGTACATGGCTTGTGCTGAATACCAGTGGAGTTAAATATTTTATGCTGAAGATCCATGTGCAAATAACATATTCACAATTATGGAGATAAAATAATAAAGAAACAGCACAGTTTTGTGTCTGTGTGCTCATGTGTTCAGCAAAGCTACTCTTGTTTCCTTTTTATGTTTTTCAAGGACAATGGATGGGACTAGTACATTCTAGGTGACATTTCTGGGGACTGAAAATTCAATTGATCAAATAAAACCTCACAGTTTTTTGCCTATGTGAGTTTTTTCATGAATTTTCTATAGCTCTCCATACTTATGATTTCTAGATCATAATAGTCTATTTTCCTATCTCAATAAACTCTAAATAGTCTGCTACCGTTGTTAGAGCAATTGAAAATGTGAACCCAACTCCATGCGACAGGGAAGGAATGATCCCATCATAAATGATGGAAACAGAATGATACAATGACTTCACTAAACTGAAAATCTTGTTCCCAGGGAAAAAAACTATTCGTGAATAACGTTCAAACAAGATTAAAAGAATATGCAATGATTAAACAGGAAATATTTATGAAAACATTTTAAGCTTTTCAAAGAAAAGTAGTTATCATCATCTAGCGGATGGTAATGGACCAGTGAATGGGGTTGCTTTCCTCCAACTCTCTTAGATAAACTTCTAATGTCTAAACAGGTGCAAGAGCAAAATATCTCTAATTGTTCTTGAATTGAGTCAAATATATACATATATATTTTAAATATATATGTCTGCATGTATTTTATTCATTAACTAGACATTTAGTTCCAGAGCCCATAAACTGAGTGCATTGTGTAAAATTACACAAATCTAAGAAGTCCAGAGAAAGAAGAAACGATACTTTGAAGTGGTGTGAAAAGTGGAGGATAAGACAGTTTGTTCAGGGAAGTCTTGAAAAATTCCAAGCATGTAAAATAAAGCTCTAATGTAAAGCTGAAGTGGTAAGAAGGAGAGCGTGTCTCAAGAGAGCAAGAAGGCTGCTGTGCACTCAGGCCACACACGAGACCACCCACCGGGCGTCAGGGGCGGCTAGAGGGGAGATGATTCTGCCCAGAGAATAATGAGGAACAGGGCAACAAGGGCAGCTCCATGTACATGGCCACTATTCAAGGCCATTCCCCTCCTCCTCCTCAGTCAGGAATGGGGGGAGGGAGGATCCAGAAATGTGTTCACTCACTTAGTTCATGGAAATTCATTATTGTCAACATGAGGACCTCACAGTGTTAGACACAGGCAGCCCTAAATCATCACTTTTCTTCAAAAACATACTGGATGGGAGAAGAAAAGGGGAATATGCAGGAAAAAACAGGAAAATACCAGTATGCTAACACGGTTCTTTCTGGGTGTTGAAATTATTAGTCATGTTGCTTTCTCATTTACTTTTTTATATCTAAAAGGAAATTTAAGTAAAAATAAGAAATATATAAATCAGAAGTTATCAATGAGCACATACTACTTTAATCAAAAAAAGACTGTACTTTTATTTTATAACCAAAAAAAAAAAAAAAAAAGAAAGAAAGAAAGAAAGAAACTCTCGAGAGGTCTCCAAGTTTGATTATTATGATTGAGTGCTATTATGTGGCTCTTACTCTCATTAGTACATTACACTTATTATTCCCAATTCTCACAAAAACTTTTGGAGCTTGTTACTATCATCTCAGTGTTGCAGATGAAGAAATGAGGCTGAGATGCTATAAATCATTTGCCTACGTGTACAGAGCTAGGAAAGTTCACAGAAGGAATGCTCTTACCCAAGTCGGACTTACTCTAAAACCCAAAACCTTTGCACTGTCTCACTTAAGTGAGACTTTCGAACCAGCCATATTGCCATGGTAGCAATGGTGGTACCGGTAATAGCAGCTAACATGTATACAGATGGTGTCTAATGGCTTTTTATATGTTTATTCAGTTAATCCTCCCAATAAACCTGGGAGGTAGGTGTTATTACTTCAGTATTGCCATTTTACAGCTGGGGAAACAGCATGAAGTAACTTGCCCTCAGTTGTACAGCTAGTTGCTGGCATAGCCAGGATGTTAGATGGAAATTATGGTCTACCAAGAGCTTTTGAATGGGAAAACATAATAACATCCAGTAGTGTAAGTTTCATATTTTTTGTGCCCCACAAAAGCGTCCATATTACTTCACTGACTATAAAGGTTTGTAGGTGGGTTTTATTATGTTTTCCTGTATATTAATGGATAAATGTTAAAACTCTAAGGAAAACTAAAGAAAAATATTAATATCTAAAATGGACATAGTTCTATAATTTATGAAATACAATCACGTAACCTGTAGAGAGGGTTATGGTATAAAATTAATAGGAATTAAATTTTTAAAAGGAAGCCATTAGATGAGGGGAATATAACCGCGTTCCTTGGTTCACTGCTTTCTGTCAAGGCTGT